AGAGATGAGAAAGGCTGTCACTTTTCGCAGCAGGAATGACACTGAGAACACTCTCACAAAAGAAATAAGGGAGAATTTGAGGTGTTTTGAAACCATGTTGCTATGATTCATTACTTTTCCACTGAAATCTTTCTCAAAAGTATAAAAATATTAACTGGGGGGGGGACCCCAGAGGTAAAACAAAGCAACTTGAAATCAACAGCCACCAGTTTAAATGTACATATGAGACTGCATTGCCAGAATTTCAGAAGGGGAAGGAATTTCTGGTAAGTGTATGTGGGAAGCTGCAATTGTAGCTCTGCTGGAGGCATTAATCTCTCTGTCTGACTAGTCAGGATCTGAGACAGTGCCCTAGCTGTGACCTACACACAGTGGCTTTGATACCTTTGGATAGAAAACTAATTCTAAGTTAGACTTCCCAGAGTTTAAAAAAAAATATTATTCAGTGTGTTCCTAGTTTAGTTTTCTTGAAATTACATCTTGGCTATAGGCAAAATACTTATTCATTTCCAATTTTTAATTTTAACTGTATCTTTCTCAACTTGGATCCAATGTTAAGGTTGAAATCCAGTGTTACCTTCATTAAAAATTTCCATAGATTTGCTAATTTTCTTGTTCTCTGCTGACAATCTCATTAATGCTATAAAAAATATGTTATCTCTGCTTCCAAATTCTATTTTATCTACGTAAAATGTAAAGTGTCTTAAATGAAAGGCCCAAATTGGATAACACAAAAGAAGGGTAATAGCACTCAGTAATTAATCTTGCACTGAAAAGACAAACAAGTGTTTTACACAGATGTCCATCAAAGGCCTGGTTGGATGTGATTAAGCAAGATTAACTTTTACCATGTAACATGATTTTATTTAGTGATCTCTCACAATAAAAACCCAGGAAGGTTCATAATTCGTTAAGAACAAAAACTGCTTTGGAAATAACAATTAAACCCACATTCCTCTTGCGCAGCCTAAACCAGGACAGATGTCTTTGGAGCAGAGGATGTGACAGGAGCAGAGTTCGAAGGCAGCAGGGTTCAGTGCTGAGGATTCAAATGTCAGAGCTGAGGAACTGAGTGCACATTTCCATTATTCTGATTAGCCACTGCAGGGTTAAATGCACTTTCAGAGCTCCCATCTGTATCCTCAAACAGGAATTACAGCACTGTGCACAAAGTGTATGGGACAATGCAATGGCCTGTCAGAAGTATTAATTCCCACCATTACAGCTGTTTGGCTTTGCTTGGGTTCTTAATGGTATTTAAACAAATACAGTTCTCTCCCCACCTTTCATGTGATTTTTCCTTCTGCAAAAGGCCCCTTTATTTAAAAACCTTCTTGATGGTTATAGAACACACATATTTATTATTCAGATGGTTCATTTATTAAGAATAAATAATTTAGTACATTTTCTTCTGTTTAATTAACACATTAGCAGTTGCAGCGTAAATGGTAACTAATGTTTATATTTATACTCATTTCTCAGGCTGTTTTGTTCTGCTTGATGGCCACCGTGCTTATTTATTGAAAGTTCCTGAGCTGCAGAAGTCTGCAGAAATGCTTGCAAATTTCTCCACAGGCAATGGCCCCTGTGGTAGCAGTAGCAAAATGCTGCCTCATTCTCTTCATGTCCTCTGATGTCCAAGGTGAGTTTAAACCCATGCAGCAAGAACAAACAATCAGGATGGCCCTAGGCCTACTTCATGCTTGTTGGGAGGAAACACAAATTACATCATTGCTATTGCTGCTGCATTTGGCACACAGCAAACCCATTATTTTATATTCACCAGCAACCCCAAAATTTACTTCCGTTCTATTGGAAACTCATTTTTCTATCGTGTGACTGCAATAGCAAACTTCCATGTATCAGAGAAAATACATGCTCTATAATGCTGTACTTTAAATCCGTTTTCTTCTTTAAAATTACACTTACGCTCCTTTCCCTTTTTGTTTCTCCAACAAAATGAAAATATGCTGCCATTTTCTTGGGTAGTACATAAACATCTTCTAAGTGTGATCAAATCTAGATTCCTGTACCTTAGCTGGTTAGTTATTTCTAACTATACATTAAAATTGTTGGAATCATGGCTATAGGCATCCAATCAGGTCATGTGCTTCCCATTTTTGGTGTTACACAAACATGTCTTAAAACAAAATTATGAAGAACTTTAAACCTTAGACCCTGATCCTACAACAAACCCTACAGTGCCGCACTGGGGTTTGCTCTAGGATCTGAATTATGCGTGTTTACATACTGAAATCTTTTCTGTTGATGACAAAGTGACTTTTATGATGTTAAAATAGATTATTCTTTTATGATTTCCTTTATCTTTGTTGTTTCTATTATTTTTTAACTAATAGAGTCTAATGCACTTAACAGTACAGTAACCCCACTTTATACCTGAATATTACTGCTAAATTCTCCCTTCTTTGTTACTTAAGAAATCTAATATTCACCTTGACATTAAAGACTTTTATTCAGAAAACATGAACATCCCAATAGTCAAAGCTCCCAGGTAAATGTCCTGATGAGGTAGGATTGACCACGACCTTGGAGCAACCCTTTCTTCAGCAAATTCTGCCTGTCAGGGTTAAATCCTGGCCTCCAGCAGTATCTTGAATCCATGCTAGGGAAATTATGATAAAAATAATCTTTACATCTCCAGGCTCAAATGGATCTTTCTGATTGACTGCCTCTGGTGCCAGGTCCGTGTCAATAATTCGCAGGGAATGCATGGCTGTGACCTTTTCCCCCTTGTTTTAGAATTTCTATTTTACAGGACCAATAAACCATGTCAGGAGAAAGTGGCGGTTCTAGACATGTGAATGGATGGATCTCAGGTCAGAGGTAATCCTTCAGCATGCTCCTGTTTGGCACTCAAGAATACATCTCCCTGCTGCAATGGTTCTGCCAAAAATGCATGCAAGGAAAAATTGAAGGGTACAGTCTTTCAGTTAAGCAATGATTAGAAAGAAAGAATAACATGACTGAAGGATTTTCCACTTGCTTTCTCAAGCCCCCATGAAGGCTGTAGGAGTTAATGGACACACTGGGTTGCAAGTCAGCATTAAATAAAGAGGCAATGGCGATTATCTATTATGAATTCCTGCCCAGTGCCATATCATCATTACTGTTTGTAAACCTTTCTATCCATCTACATCTATCTCCTGTATGAGACACCAGCAGAAGGCTGCAGAACACCCAGGTTGTCACATTAATAAACAAACACACGCAGGTAAAAAGGAGGAGAGTTTTTCATTAAGGTACCAGAGCTGAAATTAGGTTTTGATTCTGACACCACTATAATGTTATCTGTTGGTGAGGTGTCTTCTTTTGTGCTTCAGCTCCCTCCCCATGGAATGGAGCAGCATTTATCCCTTTTTATTTCTGTTATCTGGCTTATTTACTTAGACTGTAAGTTGGCTGAGGAGATGCTTCTTCCTGTACAACATCTGCCTCACAAACCTACACTCTACGTCCCACCACCAAATCAGTTTTATTTGGGATTGTTAATAACAGGCTTATACTAAAAATACCATATTTTCCAATTTTAGCTCCCTCAAAGACTTGCTGGTTCTCTATAAGAAAATACCTCCTCTGAATGATGATGCTGTGTTTATATATATTTATATATATTGCATAGTGTTAGGTCATATTTCTTGCCTTTCACAAAGTGGGATGTTGTGTTAAAAATGGTTATGCTCTTTGCCACTATTTTTATTTATTTATTTACTTATAAATTAACAGTCCTATAGATTTTAAAGTTTTTAGAAGAAGTGAATGGCGGCAAAAATTTTATTTTTCTGTATCGTTTTCTGGTATTAAAAGTTACTTTACTTCTTTTCCCTGTTACTTTACTTTTTTCCCCTGTTTGTTCCATACACTATTCTACTCAAGCTCATGATAGAGATAACAGGAAAGCAGATTCCATAACTAATCAGACAAGCAGCCAAAAAGAGCTTTAGAAGTTTGTCCCAACAGTTTTAATTTGGACTTTATTTTTTGTCTGAATGCAGTATAACAGTAAATGTGTATTTCCATCTGTCTTCCTTAGCAGATGAAACATTACATCTCTGATTTGGAAAAGGGCTTGGGTTCTTCTCTCTGTATCCCATCCCAATTTTTCAGTGTGTGTGGACAGGAGGAGGAGAGAATCCTGCATTCCATCTACTCAATGCATTTTGCTCAATGATTCATGCTTCTAGCACCACATATAGGGAAAAATAATGGAGAGGAATAGTGATAGAGACCTAAACCCAAATGATTTTATACGACTGTGTTGTCTGTGGTGCCAAAGTTACCGTGCATTCTGTGGGACGGCCCTGGGGTTGCTCTCAGGCACGAGGTGCTCAGGGAACATTTCAGGAGAGCATCCCGACATTGCTCTGTCAGAATGACAAGGCTCCCACAGGCCAGTGACCAACAAGAATCCCTTGGGCGGTGATTGTGTTGGAAGTACTGGCTTTTCCAGAGTCAGGCGGCTTTGATAAGCAGTTTATGGGATGGAGCACAGATAAGGGAGCATTTGAAGCAGGGAGGGAGCTGCGAAGGGTACAATAATTCCTGGTTGCTCTCACGGTTTATATGGCGCTAATACCTTGTGTAATCTTAATTTGTAATCTTTGTGCATCGTGCCAAGCCTTGCCAGAGCAGTCTCTGTGTCTAAGCTTTGCCCATTCCTCGTTCATTTCTTGCCTTTACCAAAACCTTTGGGTTTCCAAGGTCTTCTATTTCCCTCCAACTTTACTGAACTGTTACTTCATCTTTTCTTCTCCGTTCCTTTCTTCCAGCCGCCACCTTTGCGTCTCCCTTTCCAGGCGCCCTTCTCATCCTTCACCAAAGCCTCCTTTTCTTCCTCTCCGTCCTGTCTCCCTCGCTGCCCACCGCTCCGCCGCGTCCTCGTTCCCGGCTCGCCGCGCTCTCCCCGCGTCCCCGCGGGGCAGCGGTGACACAGCCCGGGCAGGCGCGCAGCGCAGCGCACACAGCCGGGCCGGCGGCCGGCACCAGGGCCGGGGATGCGGAGGCGCCGCTGCTGCTGCTGCTGGGGCCCGGCGGCGCTGCTGCTGCTGCCGCTGGGGCTGGGCAGCCTGCTCGCCGCCAAAGGCAGGTACCGGGGCGCGGGCCGGGCGCGGCTGCCCGGGGACGGCGGCGGAGCGGGGCGGCTCCTCGCCCCGCGCGGGGCTGAGCGGGGCTCCCCGCAGGGAGGGGCGCAAAGTTTGGGCGGGGGTCTCGGCAGCGGTGCCCGCAGCTGGTGCCGCTGCCGCCGCGGTGATGCTGCGGGGCCGCGCCGGGAGAGCCGCGCGTCGGGCACGGCCGGGGCCGGGCGGAGGGAGCGGGGGAGAAGCGCTGGAGCCTCCCGGGCCGGCGGCCGAGGAGAAGCGCTGTGCTTCCCCCGGGCCGGGATGGGACTGGCCGCGGTGCTGCAGGTGCTCTCGCGGCTCCGCCCGCTCCCATCTCCCAGCCAGCCGTGCCCCTTCCCAGAGCTCCGGTCGCACAGGTGTCGGCGATTTCTTGCCTCTGCTTGTTTTCTTTTCCCTTGCGTTGTTTCCACGCAGTTTAGGACTGGCTTTCGAGCCCCAAGTTTTAGAAACTTAGTTTTGAGAGCTCTGTCTCAGTTTTTTTTTTTTTTGAATATTATTTTCAAACATTTTAGTTGCTTTTGCCCCGGCTCATGAATATTCGGGCCTGCCCTCGCCGTGACGTCGCCGCGGTCCCGGGCGGGGGCCGGAGCCGCCCCGGCGCTGGCAGCGAGGGCGAGTGACGGCGCGGCGGCAGCAGCCTCCGCCCTTTTTGAATATTATTTTCAAACATTTTAGTTGCTTTTATTTTTGTAGGGGGCTTTGGTGTTTATTTTATTTGTGACCATGTGTGTGAGAAAGAAAACTTCAGTGTTTTTTTGGCGTTTGTTTTCTTAACAAGACCGACTTCTTGAGCCATAACTTTGTGAGGAAATTGATTCTTTCCAGCAAATGTTACTTGACTTTGTTTACATTTACGGGTATGCATAGCAGAAAGTGACTGTAGGAAATTAATTGCTCCTTCTGTTTCTGACTCAACGTGCCTTTGTGTCCTGATGGGAATGCCGTGTTTTCTGGGCAGATTAACATACAACACATAACATTTTGATGGAAGGCAGTTACTTTCCTCCTCTTTACTTTCTAATGTAATTCTAGGTAATTGCCTCCTTTAAAAGAACCTTTTCTTTAGACAAGCGTGGGAGCTTTTATTTCGTGGGAGATGTCTTTTAGCCTGCCGGCAGTTCATCACACAAAACGGGGTCGTTCTCGCGGGGCTCTGCTGTGCCTTTGACCACTGGAGGGCTGCAGAGAACATTTTTGGATAACAGGAGTTACAAGCTCCCAGCAGTTGGTGGTTTAAAATAAGCATTTTAATGTTATTTATATTGATATTCAAGTGCTTTAAGTTTTTGTTTATTACTTTATATACCTTGTTTCTTAAAATTGGGTATTTTCAAAGATATAAGGCAGTGTTGATAAATGAGGTAAGATGTCTTGGCACTGTATGCAGTTAATATCTGATATGTTTTTTCTTCCTCCACCTGGCTGGTAGAGGAAAGAAAAAAAGGGGTTTTTCAGCAAGAACCTCGTACTGCTTTCTCCTTGCTCTCTGTTTTTCTACGGTAAGCAAGTTTTAAGTTAAAAGGCATTTTGTGGCTGTCTCATGCACACAATTGCAAAGCTTGGTGCTGTAACCATAGCCTGGATTGTGGCCCAAAGGTGCATTCTGGTGGGAGATGGAGGAAGGATGCGGTGTGCACGAAGCTCCCCCACGTGCCCTGAGCATCCTGTCATATAGGGGATCAAAGACAACCAAAGATAATGATTTCAGTTCTCATCTTACCTCATCTACTTCACTGTGCTCTGCTGCTTCTCATTTTAAAAACAAAACCAAGCCCCCTCCACCCCCACTCCTTTTCCCCACATGTTTGTGAGGAAGGGGAGAAGGATTACAGGAGCAGTTCTGGTTCTCACTTTTCACTCAGTAGAAAATAACTATTTCTTTCGCTAAATATCTCCAGGCTGCAAAAATTGTTTACTCTGAATAGAAGGGGAACCTGCCCTGCCCCCCAGGGAACAAACTCTCTGAAGTTTTCCAAGGAAAAAGAAATATGAGGCAACATCAGAGCGTTTAGGAGGTTGTTAGTTACAGAACTTAATGTGTGTATTAAATATGCATATGCAATTTGTTAGCTTTGTAGCAGGTTGTTCACACTGAGATGTCTATCATAGGGTCCAATTAAAATCACCATTTTGGACAGAAACATGTTTGCTTTTAAGTATTTTCAGATAGTGTCTCTCTCTGTCTTACGGAGCAAAGCTTTCTGGTTTATTGGAATTGCATTAATGATGTCTGGAAATTGTGTGAACTGTCTCTTGTCATCTTCAGTTATAGAAGATAGAATATGCTGAAGGATAAGGTTTGGGTTTTTTCCCCATCATATGGAAAATTCACAGGTCCATGTGGTCACAGGCAGGGAGTATTACAACCTGCAGCACTTTTTGTTTCCCCAGATCTCTGTGTAATGCTTATCTCTTAAGTCATTTATTACTTTATTCTAGTATGTACTACTGAACTACTAAAAGGGCTGTCATATCCAAATTTCTTGTAAGACCCAATTAATCAGCCTCTCAAATGTTACTGTATTTGAACTTCATCATTACCATAAACAACATTTTAGTCTTCATTTTTAAGCAGGGCCGAAAGCCTCTCAATGAATGTTCGATTCCGATTAAATTAATGACATGGGTGAAACTTGAAGTCTTATCCATTGCAGATGTTTCCAAATCAGTGGAACATTCAGTCCCACTCGGCAGGTCTGTGATGTGAGTGCAGCAGAGGAACAGCTGATCCAGGGAGACAGAGAAACCTTACAGCCTGGGGGGAGGAAAGTGAGGGGAGAGCTTTGAGAGCACACTGGACAGATCCTGGAGCCTGACATTTTCTGCATCACTCAGTGTTTCCTTGTATTCCTTTTTATAGTAAATAATAATGAAATATTTCTCATCATCAGTTCATAGGAGACATTAAAAAAAAAAAGCCTTCTTTCCAACCTCATCCAAAGTACATGAGGAGCAATGTTTGGCAAGTGCTTAAGTCAGAAGACGGGAGGTGAAGCAACTGTGCTTTCTTTTGCTGGTGCTTCCTGTAGCTCACCAATAAACCCCAATAAAGATATGTAAATGATTTCATCTTTCTGTTTCTTTCCATCAATAAATGGAGTTAGGAATCCTTCTTTTTCTAGAGTGTTTTGATTGAAAAGCAGTTCATGAAGACTGACTCTTCTGTCTCACAGGATAAAAGATTCGTCTGATTATGAAGTCTGGGTGTCAAGATAATGAAATGATTTAGAGTTCTCAAAAGACAGGAGTCAGTATTTGATAGCAGCTTTAGTATTCGGGTGTTTCAGCATAGAAGACTGACAACTATATTTAAATTGTCATTATGAAGTTAGAGAATGTTTGCCAGTCAGAATCATATTGTTACCAATTTTAATTGCATTATTTGGAAGGCTACCAAGACTGGGAACTTAAGAGGTTCCAGAGCATATTTTAATTGTAAGCAGTGTGTGTGCCACTTAAAGAACACCCTCCAAAGTGTGTCTTTTGTCTTTTGTCACCTCCCATTAGGTGGCTTGTGAGCAGTCAGAGTTGGATCCTATTTTTCCCCTTTGAAGTGACTGGTTTTGAACGGGGAGGGTTGTATCTGTATCTGGTCACCCCTTCTCCTGCCCAAACAGCACACTTGGAAGGTGTAACGGGATGGGGGGTGCTCGGAGACAGAGATGACTGCACGCCCGATGTCCATGTGGTAACAGGGAGCATTTATTGGTTCAACCCCTCTTTATAAAGGGGGTTTGACTGGATAGCTCACTGGTGTGATCTTTTAACAGTGCCCAGCTCCCACACCAGAGATGTCTGCCCCTTAGCATGGAACGTGATTGTTTGAGGTTCCTGTCAGTCAGCCAGCTTCTTCTGTGATGTACCCTTACAAAAAGGGACCTCAGTTTCCTTTAATTGGTTTTTAAACACCCAGCAGCTGTACCCAGTGGATGAGAGTTGTGCACGCTCACTGGGGGCTTTCAAGACAAAATTCAGGATGCCTGTAATGCTTCAGTGTTTTGTTTCCTTTTATGAGCTACGAATTTACTCTATCAAGAAGGTTAATGAGTGGAATCTAACTGTTTAAAATGTGCAAGTGTCGATTTCTAAAGTGCACTTTAAGCCAGTTCACTCTAAACGCCTTCCAATTCTTTGCTGTGTGCATTTCAATAAAAGTGGATATGTTGATTGGTTATAGCTATAAGAGCAAGGGAATTAGTTACCTTGAGTAAGTTGATAGAACATATGCATTATAATATGGCATCAAAGTTCAAGTGGCTTCTTGATAGAATTAGCCTAAAGGCTCTGGATGTGCATCGGTTAATTTGGTACTTGTTGTTCTCAGTAAGTGATATTAAAAAAAAATAAATTAAAAATCAGCATTTAAGATACATTGAATCTAAGTGGGTTTTACCCTCCCTGCCCCAAAATCCTGCTTGATGTGGAAGATGGATGATTCTTAAAATCCATCTTTTAAGAAATTATTTGTGTTTGTGTAAATCTCTGGTGGTGCTCGGTGGTGCAGTATCCCTGATGCTGCTGGCTTTGTGGTACAGGTTGGGTGTATAAAAGATGTTCAAGCTTGACAGAAGTTAAAGGGATTGGAAAAGTGGGTCAGGTTTTTTGGGGCCCTTACGGGTCTGAGTATCCTCAAAATACAGATGGAGTGTGAGTTGACCAACAGACTGTTGAACAGTATTGGGCTAGGAAAGATGATTTTTGCAGTTTACATAAAATCACGTTTTGGAATAGAAGTGTATGTGCTGGATTACAATTCATTTTAATGTGGCTTTTCTTGGTATTGATTTTAAAGATGGCTCTGCATGGATTTGCAGTTTTCCAGCAGTTAATGCTGTTATTTAGATGTTTGGTTTTTGTATGTGTAATCTTGACCCTTGTTAAATCAATGTGAGATTTGCAGTGTGCCTTGGTAAAATCGGAGTTTCATCCTTTGTGTGTTTTCCTATAAATATAAACAGTTGTTTCA